GGCCAACGATTGCTGTGTTCCTGGATATCCGTGCAGCCTTTAATTCTGTCCATCGTACGGTACTGTGGCAGTGCCTACTGAGGAACGGTGTCCCCGAGAAGTTCGTCTCCATACTGCGCGCTCTATATAGTCTGACCTCGAGCAGGGTTAGGGCTTATGGCAACTTTCGCCTACCTTTGTGGTTTCCAGTGGAGTTCGACAAGGATGCCCTATCTCTCCGTTCTTATTCAACTTTGCCATTGAGGATGTTTTGAAGAATGCTCTAGGCGATTCGTTGAACGCTGGCGTTGAGCTCCTCCCAGGTAGTCGAGTTGTTGTTTTGGATTATGCTGATGATATCGTCTTGCTGGGTGACGATCCACACGTCATCCAACTTGCATTAAACCGCTTGGCGATTGAAGCATCAAAGTACGGTATGTACTTTTCGCCATCCAAATGCAAGGCTCTCTTCCAAGACTGGCAGGTGCCTCTGCCTGCACTCACACTTGCTGATGAGACACTAGAGGTTGTGGAGAGCTTTGTCTACTTGGGAAGTTGCATGACTGCTGGTGGGGTTGTTGGAGACGAGATTTCGATGCGCATCTCGAGAGCACGCCTCGCTTTTTCTGGGCTGCGTCACTTGTGGCGTCGCCACGACATTCGTCTCTCCATCCAAGGGCGGGTCTATTGTGCAACTGTTCATGATGTGCTGTTGTACGGATGCGAGATCTGGCCCATTCGTAAAGATGACTTGCGCAGGCTATCCGTCTTCGAGCACCGCTGTCTGCGGTCCATTGCCCGTGTGTGTTGGCGGCACCACGTAAGCAATGTGGAAGTTAGACAGCGTGTCTTGGGACGTGGAAGCCACTCGCTCGAGGAGCTCATCTCACTGCATCAACTGCGGTGGTTGGGACACGTATTGTGTATGCCTGTCCTGCGTTACTCGCGTAGTGCACTGTTTTTGGTTGCTGAACAAGGCTGGAAGTGACGGTCTGGTTGGCAGCCTACAACATGGAGAAGCCTCATAAAAAGCCAACGAAACAGTTAGCCTCGGCCGACTGTTGTCGACTACCTGGTTGGGGTCGGAGAGATGTGGATACTTGCTGGTTGAAAACCTTGGAAGCCATGGCTCAAGATCGATGTCAATGGCGCATCAGTGTGTTGCGGAGCCCCTTCTTCCCCCTCTTAAGAAAGAACAAACTGGAAAAAGTTTCAAAAATTATGATTGGTAAACTAAACAAAAAAGCTATTGTTATTAGCCTTTTCTTATTATTCATACGGTTTTCCTATTCAGCCACGATTCCGATGGCACAATATCTGCACCACAGATTATGTATTATATATATGCAAGTTGGATGACGTGTGGATCGTCACCCAGCAAGACGATATCATCAGCATAATCCAAAACAACAACTCGACTACCTGGGAGGAGCTCAACGCCAGCGTTCAACGAATCGCCTAGAGCATTCTTCAAAACATCCTCAATGGCAAAGTTGAATAAGAACGGAGAGATAGGGCATCCTTGTCGAACTCCACTGGAAACCACAAAGGTAGGCGAAAGCTTGTCATAAGCCCTAACCCTGCCCGAGGTCAGACTATATAGAGCGCGCAGTATGGAGACGAACTTCTCGGGGACACCGTTCCTCAGTAGGCACTGCCACAGTACCGTACGATGGACAGAATTAAAGGCCACACGGATATCCAGGAACACAGCAATCGTTGGCCTCTCATACACATGGCGGAGCTCGAGAATCTGGCGAAGTGTGAGGATTTGATCGATGCAGCCGCGACCAGGGCGAAACCCAGCTTGTTCTTCTCGTTGCAACGATTCGCGCGTTGGGGATAGTCTGCGAAGTATGATGGACACCAGCAGCTTGCAAACGACGGGGACTAAACTTATTCCTCTGTATTTGGAACAGCTAGTGCGCAGGCCCTTGTTGAGGATAGGGACGACTATCGATTCACCCCAAGATGACGGAACTTTCTCTTTCGACCAAATTTTCGAGAACCAAGGGGTGAGTTCTCGGACCAACGATGCGCCACCATCTGTAAATAGAGCCGGAGGAAGACCATCAGGGCAAGGGGCTTTATAACGCTTTATGTGCTGGAGCTCCTGCTCGATTTCCTGGTAAGAGGGAGGGTCTGTGGGAGTAGACCACTCGGCCCCAGCGCGAGCGCCAGAGGTAGCAGATGGAGCTACGGGGCAACAAAACCCAGCCGTAATGTTCGGCCCATCGCTCCAACTGTCGTTGAAGATTGGTGATTAAGGTGCCATCCTCTTCGCGTATTGTTTCACTTATACCAGATCGAGCGCCTTCGGTGATTCGAAGGAGATGGAAAAGTTTTCTGGTATTACCAGAGTGACAAGCAAGCTCCATCTCCCTAGCACGTTCACACCACCAAGCTTCGTGTTCCAATTGCAGACTCCTGCGCAAATGTCGACCAAGGTATTGGTGTACTTCACTGTGTCTGGAATCCGATGGGATGAAGCGACGTTTGTCCATCAGCGACAAGGAGTCGGCGGAAATCCAATGCTTCGGTGGGTGACGGGCAACTCCACAAGTGTTGAAACTGGCGGAAACTAAAGCATCTTTGATATGTGCCCATTGCGAATTATTCTAATGAGATACTCCCTGGTGTACACTATCACCTAACAGACTCATCGGCCAAGTCATGATAGTACTTGGACAACCTCACAGCCTAATCTAAATCTAGCTGGCTTTCCCTCAACGCATCAAAGTGCAAAGGTGTTCTTTTCTCGCTGTCCGAACAAAATGGTTATCAGCAACTCCTGTAATACTCCCCGTATCTTAGTATCGATAGCTTTAATCTGAACATTTGTACACTAGATCAGGAGTTCACGCGGGCTCATCATGTGAACAAAACATTCTCTAAAGTCACGGAAAGTACATTTTATGTCTCCCGAATTAGGGCTTCATCCGTGGCTCGTCACTTGATCTTACGGTCAGTCACCACATGCGTAGTGCTCAGCTGTGATATTTCCCAGATTCTTAAACGGGCCATTCAAAGTGATCAACAGGTCACTGAACCCTCTCGCCACATGTAGCGGAATCGCAGTGTTAGAATTTACTGACATCGTTGTATTTAATCACCTCCGCTCCTGCGAAAAACTGGAGTCCTAAAAAACTCACCGACGCCAGCCGCCCTCTCATTCGTGCATCATCACAATGTATCCCGACTTCTTCGACTAGACTAATGCACAAAGCCATTTATGCTTGCACACGGGTTTACGGTACGTCAGTTGTTCCCTAATGTCACGTTTTCTGAGGGATCAACATGTAGTCAATAAAGAACTTATCGTCAAACTGCATCGATGAGATCACCAGTGACACCTTTTCACTTTCACTTTACCCAGTTAACTTGCAAAATATGTAGCCCAGCCGACGTCCCCCATGGCTCAGTGGCTTAAGTTGCTTGCTAGTTGGCATCTGCCTCTAGCGGTCATGGGTTCAAGCCCCAGTAGGGGACCGAAGGAATACGCACCACTGACTAGCCCAAATAGGGCGAAAGACGTCTGGTACTTTTCCGGACTAGGCTGTGTTATATAACTTGTGAACTACTGGGATGAATACCTCAAAAGACTTGATTCTTCTCGGCTGGCATACGTTAAATTCAAAGGTTATTTTTCGATATGACCATCCTTCACGTCCACTGAGAAGCACCAGCTCAACTCGTATTTCCTATGACGCTGCTATGTTTAATAAGTGTAGGCAAAATGCTGTTAATAACTTAACTTTGTTTCATTTGTCTTTTAAATAAAATATACAATTATCGTTTGTGTCCAGAGTTTAAGGACACTCTGTATATAGTGGTTGTTTGATGCTCGAAGCATCCATTGCACTGAACGTGGGTCGAACGTATGTACAATTGTCCACAGCGATCTAAGAATCCGGTATCTGTTTCTTTACATTTTGCTTGCAGATCATTAGCAGATAGTACGGGCCAGACTATTCGTGACAAAGCGATCCCTAGAGATCCATACAACTCCAGACACTGATAGAAAGTTTAAACTCACCTTAGTTGTGCTTACCAACTGAGAGGAATCACTGAACTAGAACAATGCCTCTGGTGTTGCGTTTTTGAAATTTGAATATATAAAAAAGTTCATTTGGTGGGATATTTAGAGAAATGTAACCACCGTCATTCGTATTTGCCTTAATAAAGTAGCGCATTATTGAATAGCGATTTATCGAAACTGCTGTGCAAGCCTTTGCTGTCGTCGCCAAGACGTTAAAGTACTTACTTAGAGTGCCCAGCTCAAAATTAGTGAATTAATGTACTTTAAATCTGACTCTGATTGGGATCAGCTACTCAAAAATTTACAAATATAATATTTGTTTTTAATTATTTTAGGACGACTAATGGCTGCATTGTCAAAGTGTACGTTACAGCCCTATACCAAGAATCGGAGGAAATTAAGGAACTTTGTACATTCACTCCCTACGCATGATAGCAAACTATACTCCCATAAGGTTTGATTCGTTGCACCGAGAAATGGAGATGGCTGAATGTTGATCTACGCAGATTCCCATCAGTGAGTATACAAGTTCACTTGTAATACCTGCGAATCTGCACCGGTGACTAAAGGTATACTTGGAAAATAAGCACAAAACACATTTATGAACGGATTTATAGAATCACATCTTTGTCCAAAAATAGAATGGAAATAAAGCAATATCCTGCAAAACGTCTACGTTTAGAATTGTGTGCAACAGGTGATGCATCATATCAGAAAGCGCTTCGGATTATACTAGTTCACTAAGAACATGATAAGAGGAATGAATTAGACAAGTTATTGTCGTCAAATTTTCACTAAACTAAAAAATAGTTTAAACCTAGGACACGATGGAATAATATGTTTTTGTATTGATCCACTTTCAACAACTTAAACAGATACCAACATTTGTTTCATGAAATAATATTTAGACCGTTTGTTTTAATGCACAAACACAAGAGTTCATTACACCTTTATGTTTATAATGCGCCCGTAGTTGTCATGGCGCATCTGTCACGGTAGTGAGCATGAATGGCAAAGAGACGGCCTCGGTAAAATGTGCAAATGCTCACCTGGCTGACCTGCAGGAGGATGTGTTGTACCACCTTGGTATGTCAACTAAAACGGTAGATATGAGACAGCGATTCGGAGATGTTCGGGTAAGATTATAAATATTACTTGTCAGTGCACACTGACACTATCTAAGGATGTTTACATGAACTAGGCACAGTTTCTATTCAAAGAATATTCATGAATTCTTGACTTGTTTCGACTTGACTAGTTATTTTCATTTGAAGCTACAACAGGTCTGGAGAATATGTCATGCATTGTTTACGTTCCTTAATATACCAAATCATGAGGATGTAGATATACTAACAAGTGCACAGTTTCTTGTATTTGGCTCATTGTAAAGGTGGGTAAAATTAGTGACTTAACTTTTTAAGTTTTGCTCCGTCGTGCTGATGTCCAAAATACAAACATTTTCGATTGTTCATCGCATCGATGAGACCTTTCGAATTTCCACTTCCATCACCAGTATAAGCTGAAATTATATCCTGAATAGGAGTACACATTTGTTGGTTGCGTCTTCTGGATTTACGCGATTTCATGAAATTATATGGATTGATTATTCTGATAGTGATTTCTGAACTTTATGTTGTATTCAAATGATCAATAGTACCCGTAGTGTACAAATCTTTCTTGCCCACACTGATTGCTTTGCAGTTGACAAAACCAGCAATTTATCTTACTGTCTGACCTCATAGGACCGTTTCTATCAGCAATGATGACAGGCGCTCTCGAATGACTGGTCTGTAAGGTTGCCCAAACTTTTCTGATTACGAATGTTGATGAATACTGGCGCAACATTTTTTTACCTTGTTTTTGTTACGAACTGCAAATCTGTAGCTTTTGTTCTCAACTGAGGCTTTGTAAGGAATTTAAACAAACAGTGGCTAGTTGAAAGATTACAGACGAATAGTTTAGTACATTACAAGGACCACATTGTATTGCCAGGAAAATAAACATTTTATCCACGAACTGTATGCGTAGTCACAAAAAACAAGTTTTTCTGAGCAAATGTACATGCTTTGAACCGTTATCCAAAGAATGTTGGCCCTTCCAGTTATTCCAAAACGGTGAATGCGCCCTCGAAACATTACTAGAGTAACTACGCTGCGTGCTTAAACATATGCAAAATGCGAAGTTCACTAGGTTCGAAATGAGTATTGGGTAGCCCGGGTGGTTTGTTCAATTGTTGTGGTCCTCTCCGAGTTTGGCAACTTGAGTGCAAACGTTTCGCCAACATTCGAGGTGGCATCTTCAGTGCACTGAAGAAGCTCGGAGAACACCATAACTGAAGTTCACTACGTAGATACCCCACATGTGCAGAGAAAATTTTCTGGTGACACTCAAACAGTCCATCTTTCGTGTCCAGAATTGTCTGTCGGGTATTCAGCTGGTGCAGTTACCAGAGTTTAGGTACGGTTCACATGTACTTGGGGCGTTTGGAGATCAAGCTCTAGAGTTGTTTACTTGAAATTCATACATTACTTAAACAACCATTTAGCACACCCAAATAACCCATTGTCAAGGTTTCTTGATTGTGACAATATAGTGTCTCTGTCACGACGGTCAGAGATGATACATCTGCTCTGTATGGAGCCAAGAGTAGCCGTTAAGATGTTACAAAGCCGTGATGGATGAATTAATCTTAAGTCGCATCAAAAGTGTTACTCTCATGGTCTGAACTCTCTGCCATAATTAGGATGGTATTGAATCATACTTCAAAGGTAAGCCCCAAGAGGTTATACATGATATGATTTCCCAGTAAACGGACGATATCTACCGGCTAAAACGTGCTGTTCGCATTTCTTGTGGCCGAGACATGTGTCAGTCTTCGAATCTTTGATGAGATCCGATGGTTTTGGAACCTGCTCCATTTCCTAAAACAACTACTGTTTTGATCGAAATACAAAATGACTATGCTTAGTAAAGTGAAATAAATAGAAGGCAAGAAGAGGCACAGTGATAATGCTGGGAATCACAGTGGCATAATCCGATCTGAACTGAAAGGGATATTTTCTAGAAAATTACTTGCAAATGCATTTGTTACGGTACTACCGTTAGGCAAGGCATTTCTAACTTTGCAAAATGGAAATTAGTATCTATTACTGCGCGCAACTATACTATAAGTCTGACGCTCACTCGGGCCACACTGTTAATCACATCCGTTCCAACGGCTGGTGTACAACTTAACTTATCTGTATATCACTAGTGGATTCGAAAATCAGCAACACAGTTTTGTCCAACAATGATTCAAAAATGAGGAATAATTTTCAGCATAATTTCGTCAGCAAAAGGTAATAAGCCAAACGCCACTAGGCTTTGTTTACATGTTATGACCTTGTTCAATGCCGGAGGTTCTTCACATCCATTAGCCAACTGATCAAAATAGACTTTTGTTTGCTTACTTTGGTGTATCCTTTGCCGCTTGTCAATATCATTTAAAATGTGGCATAAAGTCGCAAAACTGAATAGGTGTTGCATACTCCTGATGTCGGGATGATCAATCCGAAGGGGGTGACGCATGTTGACAAGGTGCCGAGATGTGAAGTGGTGGATTGGTGTTATAACACATCGGTCATTTCTCAGGTTTTCGGAGACAATTCATTTGTTACAATAAGTTTAAAACTTCTTCGTCTTGGTTTAAGAATGCTGATGATATCTTCGGTACACGGCTGAAGGTTAGGGGACAGATTTCTGAGGAGTCTTGTTGATATATTGCTTCGTTCTCACAGACCAGCCGGTGGAATAACTAGGCGGTTCGCATGGGTACCACAGGTCTCCTAGCCGAAGTAGATCTTGCAGCCATTACGACTCGTCTCCTCAGCTATTATCTGTTAACAAACACGGCTGCTGATTAGTGATGGTTAATTTTATATGACAAACATTCTTGCTTATAGTGTATTTGCGTTAGCTGTTGAGTTCGTTAGCTAGCGCTCTCCCTGTGCCCTCCAGAATGTGTACAAGAAATAAAGTGCCAATTGGTTCTGTCATCGTGCTAAGTGGAAATTGTGTTGCGGATACGAGATTCGGCTCTCAGTGTTTTATCCATACTCTGCACGTCATTTATCTTTATGAGTTATGGGTTCGTGATCGTCAACGAATTTTTATGGCTTGTGCTTTGCTCAGCTGTGCGTTGTATTTACCTGGACACTGAATTCAGCTGGGAGGAATGCATGTTTTTACTTTGCGCATGGAAATCATCCCAAGATGTTTGTTATTTCGGAATCCGTCTCTTGGTTAGAATTTGGAGAGTGATTGGAAGCACTGAACTACAGATGCCATATCTCAACTGTAAATGACGCCAATGTGACTGTCACAGTGCTAGTGTTTGAGCCATCAATACCTGAGCATGAAATTCCAATTCCTCGCTGTGTTATCTGGCTGGAGGCTTGAAATTTTCTGTAATGCCCTTTTGGAGATGTCAGTAGTATAACGATGTCCAACACTTCATACCCGAGTTGGTCACATTTTCTCCTAGAAATTGAAGTCAGGCTTTCCGACCGCAAACAAAACTTCTCGGATCGTTGCATCAAGCACTGGAACCAAAGTGACATTGACTGAGTCAATGAAGCGCAGAGCAACTGGCCACATTTAGTAGAATACGCTTTTATACAACCGTCCGTTCATCGAATACTAGGCAGGTTTATTCTTTCTTTTTACCACGTACAGACAAATTTACTCTATTGCTAACTGTTTCACAGTCGAGTATAATAGCTTTATGACCACGAATGCGTAGTAACATAGAGTGCGCAACAGGGCTTCGTATGCCGATGCATACGCCACTGTTTCGCTACCTGAACGCGTTTGACTTTTGTGGTTTTACTGTACTATGAACAAGGACATTATCTCGGTTAAGAAGTATTGCCTTACAACTAGTGCTTTTATCAAAAAAGGAGGCTTATTGTTTATAATGCTGTAGTCTTGCACTCCGCGTTCTTTCCCAGTACAGACAGGTGACTGATGATAAATCTAAGGTATATCTTGGGAGTAGAACGAGGAAATAATTCCAAATAACAACATCCAATTGGCTGAGTGTATCATCCTACCGGTGTAGAAACGATTGATTCTGGGATAGCGAATGGAAACGAAATTTAGACAGCACTCCAGGTGCCCTTACTGTTCTGCTAGCTTCAAGCAGTGACCTCTACATTTTGGGGTACTGCTGAGCTGTAGTGAAGAGCGGCACACATGATTTGACCCCCCAATGTGGGAGGTAACTGGTCATTCTTACTCCCACAAGTCACGAAACTGATTGCACTTTGATTAGCTGTGATACAACCTATTTTACAGGAGTGCTTAAAATATACAACGGCTAGTCACTGCACCTGCCCTAAGCGGTAATTTTGGTGAATGTTACTTAGTCTAAGAGAAATGTGCCACTCTGATAAGTAAAGAAGCAAGTACAACCCTGGTTTAATCAAAATTACAATCATACAACGGAGAGGAGCCGAAAGTTAGCCTTACGTAAATGATGTCCTTTGGCAGAGCATGTCTGCATTAAGACTTGACGTTTGGATTGTCTCCAGTTTAAAGTAAAATCAGAGGTCTTTACTGTATGTGGAGAATTGTGCCCTTCGAAGATCACCTTCTGCATTAGAGTCACAGTAATCGCCGCTAGTTCATTCACGCAGATACTGAACTCATCCATTCCTTCCACAACCACGCTTGAATGTGCAGGTTCATATCACGCTGTCCGACCCTATAGAGATTCACTGTAGCCTCTCTCAAGGCTCGTTACCAGGACCACGTTTATTTTTCGTGTTTATTAACCACCACGCTGGAGTGTTGACGTCAAACATTTTACTCTTTGCGAATGAGTACAAGATTTATCGGTTAATTGAGTGAGTAAAACACCAAGTAGCGCTGCAAGGCGACATCGACAGGGAGTACTGGTGGTCGGCTCGGAACAAGCTTGACTTTAACCCTGTCACCTGCAAAGCAGTGAGCATACGACACTAGAACACCTACGAATATCAACCGGAAGAACATGTTTTGCAGTGCGCTTTTCCTAGAAGGGATCATAGGGTGCACATGCCGGACGACGCCTGATGCTCGAAGCTGACTGAGATGACAGCGAAAAAAGCTAGCCAACACTTGGGCTACTGTGGAGGACGTTTGGTTGTTTTGACCCCACCCTTTTCACAAATGCCCAACGCTTACATGAGGCCACGTATGAAATACGCCATCCAGGTGTGCAATCCCTGGCAAAACGTGACCTCATTGCTCCTCAGAAGTCACAACGGAGGGCGACAAAAGTGGTAAGGGATTGCTCCAGCTGCTTCCATAGTTGAGAGTAAAGATTCTAGGAGTTCTCAGAGAACAAAGTTGCATTCCGCGAGGTGATATCATATTGGTGTATCAGATCCTTAAGTATTCTAATCACCCATGCCAATCCTTATCGCAAGTCAGTCACAACTCAATGTGTGACCACCGTTTGGATTTAGCGACACAGTGTATTCGGTTGGAATGCCGCCAGGACGGTTTCTCCATCCGTGTACCCAAGCCGCGGAACTTACTTCCACATTTGTCATATATGCCCCGACGTTTTGCGAATTTAGCACTAGACTTGATGTTACAGTACACCACCTTCATAATGATCCAACCAAGTTTAATGAGACAGGCCAAAACGTAAGCAAACAATAGGTACAATAGAAATTTGTGGTAAGTCAACAGCTACGCGTCTTTGGTTTGTTTCTTTTGCTACAGCAAATTTTGACCTCATTCATTACTTGCGGAAAATGCTTAGTAGTTTGCTTCTATAAATCCTTGATAAATCCATTATTCCATTAAATGCATCTTCACACTTAAAACTTCAACAACAGCTGCCGTAGTTGTTGGCTTGATGTAAAAGGAATTAAGCTTCAGCGTGAGGAATAGCGCTGCTACCTTACTCAGATCTCTCGTGACAAATGAAAGCAAACGGTTCAACACAGTATATTGTATGCTGCTGGGAAAAGCTGCCGTTGTAGATTCTCCAAGACCGTTAATAAATCATTCAGATTGTGTATCTTTCGCCGTCACATTGCCGAGAGTCCGAAACACTGATTTACATGCTTAGTGCACTTCAAAGCTAATTACTTATGCTTATGCGGAAGTGACAATGTACTGAGGACGGTCCACCAGGAACCAAGCTGAATGCACACAGGAGTTTCTTGGTGATATAGTCCCTTCGTGACGGTGTACTGAGTAGAGGTCATCATGAGGCACCAACCAGTTTTCCCTCCCTTGCATAGCTTCGAACTTGTTGTTATTGATTTTGAGGGAAATAACTGACCCAAATCCACGGAACCTACTCGAACCGCCCTTGCTTTTGATGTATCATGGAGGAAATCGGTTCTTTTCTCCAGAGCTTCGCCATCAATCAAACGAATTCCAACATCGCGTGTGGCGACAAAATCGGACTTATCACAAGGCGTTATAGAATGGGTTTCATGGTTCACTGGTGAGCATCACAACAAAAGCGTCTGAAAATGCCACTCCAAACGCATCTTGGCGTGCGCCTAGACGTTTTCAACCTTATAAATACCTCATCCATAAAACAAATGTTTGAGTTGACACAAATGATTTGTCGCATCTGTCTAGAGGGACACGGTGGTCAATTTATACTCTAAGGCAATATGTCAATAAGTTTCTTGGAAAAACAATGGATACCAAGTTACTGCGTAACTATTCAAATTCTCAGTAATAAATGCGAGATGTTAAAGGCTGTCCTAACATACAGACGAAAACAGTCATGCGTTATAAAACTTTTTACAGTTTGTTTGCGTGGGAGGAAGTCCCAGCAGGATCAAAACCTTCGCACAGCACTTGGCGACGGAAGCTGGGATGAAAACCGAACCACAAAATCTTGCCGACAAAGGAGGTCGATTCGTGCTGTTCAAGATTGGCGCAGTCTTGCTGGCAGATGTGAGTTCAACGATTTGGCAGATATGCCGGATAATTGTATTGTAACTAATGTTTCGTTGCATGATGTACATGGATAGTCTATGACAAACGATACTTCAGGTATTTAGCTGCAAACTATAAGTAAATCGTAAGAAGGTATGGGTTGTCCCAAATTTTCACTTACAAGCAGCGTGACGTACTGGAGAACTGAATAGCATGACTGCTACTGCAAAATATGGATTACATGTTGAGCTTTATGATGCACCAATGTAAGTTTGTATTGTTATTTTAGCCGATTTTATTCCTAGATAGATGTACAGGGCTTCTTCTCTAAAGTGCTGCATATATCCGACTCCCGCTTTTCTACACTGTGCACAGTCTAACTGGAAGTGCGAACGCGGACGGATTGCAAATTCGACTGTAGTAGCTTTGGCCCCTCAAAGTAGGCTAACGTCATATAAGCTCAGTTCAAATGTAGCTACGTACTAATTTAATGAGAAACTACACTTTAGTTATTTTCCACATTCCTGTGTTAGGTATTGCAGTATCCAAGTAAGATGACTGTTCCATACATTTGTTGCTTCTTTATTTTGTCATATAATATGAATGTGCACGAGAAATTCAAGCTCATGAAAAGCTACACGTTTCTTACAGTTTATTTTGGAGGGAACATAACTGTGTAACTTTTGAGAAGAAAGATGTCGACCACAGTGTCTCAGACAGTCCCATCAGGCAACCCTAGATTGTTTGCTAAGGCTAGACCGCTGGTTTCTCAGCGCCTGAAGGACAGATGTCAGGTCTAGTCGGAATCCGCATACTTTATAAAATCACTTGCAAATGTTGTGCAAGCTACCTCGGGCATACCATCAGGCGCCTATGTAAGAGGATCGCTGAACGGTGGGCGGCGTCCGACTCCGGAATTCCCAGTCAATGTGGCCAGCCACAGGGCGCCTGCTCTTACAACGTGTGCAAGTTAATAGAAGATTATTCAGTGGGCAGAACAAACTAATCAAAGTGGAAGGAACTTTATCCAGCTTAAAAAGACCTAGTGTAACTGTAAGTTGGTTTAGTCCAACTGCGGTGAAGAAATATCATGAATGCAACATCAGCTGAATACTGCCCTACGTACCTACGAAAAGGGACAGTAAAGACCATCAATAGTTCGATATTTGAGCGCTTGATTGAACTGGGATACCGGTTTCAGGGAGATGACTCATGCAAGTTATGGATACCATCCCGAAACGAATCATCAACACGTTCAAAAAACACCTTTTATCCACATCCGCTACTATAACACTGCAAACAACGGATGCTGCCGTAAACTTTGGTTCTACCTTGAACATGAACACGGTCCGGCCAGAATTACTCACCATAAATATGACAGATGGCTAACATTTATCACCGATGATCTGTCTGCCCTCACCCACTGTGTGCGTTTTGTCCGAGCCGTCTTCTTCGACTGACTAAGACATTGATGGATAGCCGACTTTGTTAAGCTAATAGGTAGTATAGAAGTTGTGGTTTTTCTTTCTCTCTTCATTACTCAATCGGTCCTTTAATTTTGCTATGTAATTGTGAATGCCTGGTGTGACTTATCCAAGCGGTTGTTATTCGCGCAATTGTCAACTTTTGATTTCATGGGGATTATTGACGAGCCAATGACTTGTGTATCGTTGTCCACTTGGCAGCATGGTATGGGGACTCCCTCCACTGCGATCCTTTTACACGAATTATTCAAGCTACTGCACTATGCTCAGTGCAAGGATGTGACATTTATTCGAATGGGGACCAGCGGTGGTGTAGGTGAGTTTTCGTACAAATGACTGATCAATTTCTCTGATTTTCTAAGTTAACTACCATGTGCTATGACGTCGTTTCCCTAATAAATCTATTGTACGCATGCATTGTACTCTTGATTCTTTAAACCCAATGGACTATCTTCTAAGTACCGTGAAATATGTGCGATGCACAGAGTGTGAATTGACAGGTTGATGAAAAGTTCAATCCAGAATGCATGCTATTTATAAATAAATAAATGGTATATTCCTCGGCGATTCTAGATGAAGTCCAACTATGTGGTCTGATCAATGTGTACAACAGCATCGCAAAAAATAATCAATTTGTTCAAGCTTTTTACAATGGATTCAAAACAGGTACTAAACTAATTGACAGGGTTAAGGTAGTAAAGAAATTAAAAAACCAAGAACAATAACAAATGCAAATTTAAACAGATATCCCGGTAAAGTAATACGGCCACTCCTGGAACTGTCCCCAGGGGACCTGCTTCCATGCAAAGTATTCCATCGAAAGGTTTCGCCCGCACTTCCATGCTATGCCTGGCCGCGTGCCGGTGTGGCATAGTAGCATATGAGCCATCACCTGTTTATCTTATGTTCTGTTCTTTTTAGGGCTGCTTGTATACATATATTATGGGCGGTGAAGCCTCAGCCCAGTCCGTCATGCGGTTTATTCAATTATGGCACATTGTATACGCCCATCCGTTTGTGGCAATGTGCCTTGCATAAATAAAGTCTTTCATAATCTGGAAAACATAATCCGTCACCACAAGAGATCAGCCCAGTCGTGGCCAACAATTAAACAAGGAAGAATGTAGAAGAAGAATTATGTAAGAGGAACTATATCGTTAAGGTAAAAATAAGTAGGTATGTGTAATTGGGGAGTCAAGTTTGGACTACACGTTGTGTGATTGGATTGCGACACGCAACCTCAATGTAATGGACTGTGATTCACATTGAAATGAACCTTAGTCACTGCGATCACTGGGAACGTACTCAAAGTAGATGGAAATTGGGAGCTGCCCACCCGAAAACACTGCACAAGCACGATGCGTTTCGATGTAATTTCATCTCATCAGGTGGAGACAGCAGGCCTTGATCCCGCTACCATTGGAACAGTAGCCCACACCACTACCCCTTTGGCTACCAGGTCACGGTGGGCAACGCTTTATGATGAGTGAAGTTACATCGAAACCCGTCGTGGTTGTGCAGTGTTTTTGGGTGGGCAACTCCCAATTTCCATCTAAGTAGATGTGTGTTTTACATCAGCGTAAAAATGGATCGAGCCGATCATACGATCAACTTGTGTGGCGTGACAGCCGGAGACAGATAACTGTTCTAGTTGTCCGTAGGCAAAAGTCAAATAGGGAATCCGTTATTGCCATCACTGAATTCCAGTATATGTTTCTGGACTCTTAACTTCAGAAAAGAAGGGGAAAAGGTTAGTATTACAAAACAAATGTAGCGAAGGGGATCGCAGAACAATATTACGAATTGATCAATTTGTGAGGAGAGTTACAAAAATAGTTCCTGACCCCACACAAGCAAATACTGTTGCTCTCGGTTTTAAACAGAAAACAGTTGCTAAGAATTAAGTTTGAATGGACTAAAACCCCATAGGAGGTAGCATTAAAGAATATCATTACAAGCTTTTTGTAACAGCCCACCCTAGATGATCAGGTTTGCTCCATAGCATTTGTTGGGTATGTTTCGACTCGATGTTCTCTGGTATCACATGTGATCCGGCACTTCTTCATACAGCTTTTTAGCACCAATTTAAATTGTTAAGTCCCATTTTACTCTGTCCGTTAACAGAGTAACCTTTATCATTTCCTTGATCATGCAAAATGTTCAACACATCTAGGCTCTTTTGGCAGCTTATTCCATATGGAGCCATATCTAAGAAGGTAGAAATTTCTTCTTAGGCTGGTCTTGAATTTAGGTAAAGAAAATTTACATTCACTATCTCACAGTTCATAAATGGTATTATCCCGAAAGTTCAACTGATAGGTTCCAAAATGTGATTTCCGCCACGCGAGTTTGGGGAGCAAGCACAGAGTTAATTGCATTCTTCGTAAGCACAGAGGTTCAAAATTCAGCTGCTTGCAACTATCTCTGTATGAAAGAGCGGTTGAATAGTCAAATATGTGCTTCGTAAAGGCGCGTTGGACGTTTTCAATGGCTCTCAAGTCACCCTTTCGCAAGTTACTGAACGTAACACAGCAATATTTAAGCAAAGGCCTGATACTGATTTTGGAAGCAATTAGTCTGGTTTCTTTCAAGGTTAGCAGGTGGCATATTAGCCTGACAGACTGCTTAGCCTTTTTCACGATTTCATTTGTATGTTCGCTAAAGTTTAACGAACTAGAATATCTTAAACCTAAGTCACGGACAGACTGGCTGATGGGAATGACTTCGTCAAGCAGCCTTAATAATTCTGCTGTTTGCTGACATCCGTATGCCAGAATACTACAATTCGGTGTTGCAAAGGTCATCTGCCACATATCAGCCCATCTCTCAATGGCTTTCAAGTCGCTTTGGATATTGTTAAGTTTAGTGGTACGCTGAGAATCTGGGAACGTGTAAATCACCTTTAGATCATCAGCAGACGAATAGGGCTTCCCAAATTGTATAACAGAAACAAGGTCATTTATATACAGTAGGAAGAGTAACGGACCTAAGACACTGCTCTGTACCACACCATATGGCAATCCAATCGCCGGTTGGTCAGCAATTGTTGTTTGACAGAATTGGTAGGACGGTGAAAACTGACTTTATACGAGTTAAGGAGCACGGCTTTACAAGCCGCATTGGGTGGTCTGGTGAGTTATCGAAAAGCGGTAAAGAAAAGAAGGCAGTTACGAGTTTTACTGTCAAAAAGTGGATCTATCTTATGTAATCCAGTAGTCCTACGTTCCGAGTATTTCCATAGTTTCAATAAGTGAAAAAATAAAGCAGAGCTATTTCCAGGGAATACCATAGAGAGTAGTGTAAGATAGCATGATGTAAGCAATGGAGTGTATCGTCCAACCAACTATTATATATGTCCAGTGTAGATGCACAAACAACCGATTCGGGGAGAGCGTTACATGCTTGCTACATGCTAGAAGAAAAGAAATTACTATGACACTCCAAACAGCTGTACTCTTCTGCTAATTTTAAGGAGTGGTCTCTAAGTTTGATGATAATGCTGAGTTGTAGTAGTAGTAGTAGTAGCGACAAACATGGTTTGGATTATGTAAAATAAAGTGCACTATGCTCCGGTAGCCAAAGGAATAGAGGTTTCGGCTTCTATTCTAATGGTTGCGGGTTCGAGGCCTGCCATCTCCACCTGATGAAATGAAATGACATCGGAACGCGTCATGGTTGTGCAGCGTTTTCGGGCGGGCAGTACCCAAACTTCATCTGCTTCGGCTACGGTCCCAATGGTCGCAATGAACAAGATTCACTTCAATAGGAATCGCGGTCGATTGCACACTGCATTCCAATCACACAACGTGTAGTCTCAATTTGATACCCTAACTAGTCATTCAAGGTTGTGTCAAGCGTTGCCTGCCATGACTTACTAGCCAAAGGGGTATGGGTTTCGGCTAGTATTCCAATGGTCGCGGGTTCGAGGCCTGCTACCCACCTGATGAGATGAAATGACATCGAAACGGGTCACGGTTGTGCAGAGTTTGCAGGCGAACAACACCTACTTTCCATCTGCTTCGGCTACGGTCCCAGTGATCGCATTGAACAAAGTTCACTTCAATAGGAATCGCGGTCCATGATGAGATTGCGCGTCGCAATCCAATCACACAACGTGTAGTCCCAAATTGACCCTCCAAGTATGCTATTAGTAACTCTACTCGGATTCGGCGATACCGCCCACTGAATACTCCCAAATGTTTCGGCTTCTTCTCGTTTGAAAACTGGCGCATTCCCATGACGTATTGGGTAGCCCGCGGTTCAGCTTGGTCCAGAGTAGAAATGTCGTACCTCAGCCACGGCTGGCAGGCTTGTATTACGTATTTGACATGGAAGCGATGGTATGCATTCAGCTTGGCCGAACTTAGAGGTGTTTATTTGTCCGAAAACCCGTCGTATCAGGCCGACCTGCTGCATACCAGTCTCCGATGAATACTCGGATTCTTTGATCACCGCAAGTTATACTGAACCACACCCCAAGGTCGCGTTCAAAGGATAATTGCAGCATTACTTGCGTAGTCTAGTGTCGATTGGAAAATACCTTGTGTTAGCGAAAGATCGGTAGTGCATTGGAGCAACACGTAAAATTTCCGGGTCAAATCAAAAGTCAGAGTTGGAAATCCGCGAGGGTGATATTGTTACAAAGGATTAGGGCCACGAATGTAAACTGACCTCGATAAGATCCACCACAATCCCGTTCTAAACATGCGACCAGCCGTCAACAAAAACAAGGGAGGATTCCAATCGGTCACACAACCGAGTGAGCCAGCCAATCAAACACGATTCAATTTGAGGGGTTCGATATTCTGATCAATTGAACCTGCAGTCATGGGACTGAGTCCGAAAAGGGAGATGCGCCATGTGCCGCCATACACGGGACATGAACACTTATCAACATTCTAGTTCGGGATGGGAGAATATCTCAAAGAATATGAACATGTACTGATGGAGCATAAGTAAAGCTAGTGTCAAAGGCGTTGTATGCATGTGGTATATTTTTTCAATGAAATCGTTTAGGTCAGGAAATCAAAACAAAACGCGAGGCATAAAGGGAACTTTTGTAAATAGCAGGGGGAGGTATTGCATTTTCGCACATACTCTTCGCAGTTAAAACTCAGACAGACAGCCGCCAGACATCCAGGAACGCGCTAGACGGCCATTTCATTCTACTGGAACGTTTCAGTAGCGCACAAGCTCCGGAAACTGCTGGAATTCGAATCCACAACCTTACAGTTGCGAGCCCGTGACTTTTGCCACTGAGCCATGGGCGACGGCAGCAGACCGACATGACTGATAGCTAACTGCGGTATAAACACTATTTACCCTCCAAGTCTTGTGTGTTTACTAAGGGGGGGGGGGGGGGGGGGGGGGGGGGGGGGGGGGGGGGGGGGGGGGGGGGGGGGGGGGGGGGGGGGGGGGGGGGGGGGGGGGGGGGGGGGGGGGGGGGGGGGGGGGGGGGGGGGGGGGGGGGGGGGGGGGGGGGGGGGGGGGGGGGGGGGGGGGGGGGGGGGGGGGGGGGGGGGGGGGGGGGGGGGGGGGGGGGGGGGGGGGGGGGGGGGGGGGGGGGGGGGGGGGGGGGGGGGGGGGGGGGGGGGGGGGGGGGGGGGGGGGGGGGGGGGGGGGGGGGGGGGGGGGGGGGGGGGGGGGGGGGGGGGGGGGGGGGGGGGGGGGGGGGGGGGGGGGGGGGGGGGGGGGGGGGGGGGGGGGGGGGGGGGGGGGGGGGGGGGGGGGGGGGGGGGGGGGGGGGGGGGGGGGGGGGGGGGGGGGGGGGGGGGGGGGGGGGGGGGGGGGGGGGGGGGGGGGGGGGGGGGGGGGGGGGGGGGGGGGGGGGGGGGGGGGGGGGGGGGGGGGGGGGGGGGGGGGGGGGGGGGGGGGGGGGGGGGGGGGGGGGGGGGGGGGGGGGGGGGGGGGGGGGGGGGGGGGGGGGGGGGGGGGGGGGGGGGGGGGGGGGGGGGGGGGGGGGGGGGGGGGGGGGGGGGGGGGGGGGGGGGGGGGGGGGGGGGGGGGGGGGGGGGGGGGGGGGGGGGGGGGGGGGGGGGGGGGGGGGGGGGGGGGGGGGGGGGGGGGGGGGGGGGGGGGGGGGGGGGGGGGGGGGGGGGGGGGGGGGGGGGGGGGGGGGGGGGGGGGGGGGGGGGGGGGGGGGGGGGGGGGGGGGGGGGGGGGGGGGGGGGGGGGGGGGGGGGGGGGGGGGGGGGGGGGGGGGGGGGGGGGGGGGGGGGGGGGGGGGGGGGGGGGGGGGGGGGGGGGGGGGGGGGGGGGGGGGGGGGGGGGGGGGGGGGGGGGGGGGGGGGGGGGGGGGGGGGGGGGGGGGGGGGGGGGGGGGGGGGGGGGGGGGGGGGGGGGGGGGGGGGGGGGGGGGGGGGGGGGGGGGGGGGGGGGGGGGGGGGGGGGGGGGGGGGGGGGGGGGGGGGGGGGGGGGGGGGGGGGGGGGGGGGGGGGGGGGGGGGGGGGGGGGGGGGGGGGGGGGGGGGGGGGGGGGGGGGGGGGGGGGGGGGGGGGGGGGGGGGGGGGGGGGGGGGGGGGGGGGGGGGGGGGGGGGGGGGGGGGGGGGGGGGGGGGGGGGGGGGGGGGGGGGGGGGGGGGGGGGGGGGGGGGGGGGGGGGGGGGGGGGGGGGGGGGGGGGGGGGGGGGGGGGGGGGGGGGGGGGGGGGGGGGGGGGGGGGGGGGGGGGGGGGGGGGGGGGGGGGGGGGGGGGGGGGGGGGGGGGGGGGGGGGGGGGGGGGGGGGGGGGGGGGGGGGGGGGGGGGGGGGGGGGGGGGGGGGGGGGGGGGGGGGGGGGGGGGGGGGGGGGGGGGGGGGGGGGGGGGGGGGGGGGGGGGGGGGGGGGGGGGGGGGGGGGGGGGGGGGGGGGGGGGGGGGGGGGGGGGGGGGGGGGGGGGGGGGGGGGGGGGGGGGGGGGGGGGGGGGGGGGGGGGGGGGGGGGGGGGGGGGGGGGGGGGGGGGGGGGGGGGGGGGGGGGGGGGGGGGGGGGGGGGGGGGGGGGGGGGGGGGGGGGGGGGGGGGGGGGGGGGGGGGGGGGGGGGGGGGGGGGGGGGGGGGGGGGGGGGGGGGGGGGGGGGGGGGGGGGGGGGGGGGGGGGGGGGGGGGGGGGGGGGGGGGGGGGGGGGGGGGGGGGGGGGGGGGGGGGGGGGGGGGGGGGGGGGGGGGGGGGGGGGGGGGGGGGGGGGGGGGGGGGGGGGGGGGGGGGGGGGGGGGGGGGGGGGGGGGGGGGGGGGGGGGGGGGGGGGGGGGGGGGGGGGGGGGGGGGGGGGGGGGGGGGGGGGGGGGGGGGGGGGGGGGGGGGGGGGGGGGGGGGGGGGGGGGGGGGGGGGGGGGGGGGGGGGGGGGGGGGGGGGGGGGGGGGGGGGGGGGGGGGGGGGGGGGGGGGGGGGGGGGGGGGGGGGGGGGGGGGGGGGGGGGGGGGGGGGGGGGGGGGGGGGGGGGGGGGGGGGGGGGGGGGGGGGGGGGGGGGGGGGGGGGTGGGGGGGGGGGGGGGGGGGGGGGGGGGGGGGGGGGGGGGGGGGGGGGGGGGGGGGGGGGGGGGGGGGGGGGGGGGGGGGGGGGGGGGGGGGGGGGGGGGGGGGGGGGGGGGGGGGGGGGGGGGGGGGGGGGGGGGGGGGAGGGGGGGCGGGGGGGGGGGGGGGGGGGGGGGGGGGGGGGGGGGGGGGGGGGGGGGGGGGGGGGGGGGGGGGGGGGGGGGGGGGGGGGGGGGGGGGGGGGGGGGGGGGGGGGGGGGGGGGGGGGGGGGGGGGGGGGGGGGGGGGGGGGGGGGGGGGGGGGGGGGGGGGGGGGGGGGGGGGGGGGGGGGGGGGGGGGGGGGGGGGGGGGGGGGGGGGGGGGGGGGGGGGGGGGGGGGGGGGGGGGGGGGGGGGGGGGGGGGGGGGGGGGGGGGGGGGGGGGGGGGGGGGGGGGGGGGGGGGGGGGGGGGGGGGGGGGGGGGGGGGGGGGGGGGGGGGGGGGGGGGGGGGGGGGGGGGGGGGGGGGGGGGGGGGGGGGGGGGGGGGGGGGGGGGGGGGGGGGGGGGGGGGGGGGGGGGGGGGGGGGGGGGGGGGGGGGGGGGGGGGGGGGGGGGGGGGGGGGGGGGGGGGGGGGGGGGGGGGGGGGGGGGGGGGGGGGGGGGGGGGGGGGGGGGGGGGGGGGGGGGGGGGGGGGGGGGGGGGGGGGGGGGGGGGGGGGGGGGGGGGGGGGGGGGGGGGGGGGGGGGGGGGGGGGGGGGGGGGGGGGGGGGGGGGGGGGGGGGGGGGGGGGGGGGGGGGGGGGGGGGGGGGGGGGGGGGGGGGGGGGGGGGGGGGGGGGGGGGGGGGGGGGGGGGGGGGGGGGGGGGGGGGGGGGGGGGGGGGGGGGGGGGGGGGGGGGGGGGGGGGGGGGGGGGGGGGGGGGGGGGGGGGGGGGGGGGGGGGGGGGGGGGGGGGGGGGGGGGGGGGGGGGGGGGGGGGGGGGGGGGGGGGGGGGGGGGGGGGGGGGGGGGGGGGGGGGGGGGGGGGGGGGGGGGGGGGGGGGGGGGGGGGGGGGGGGGGGGGGGGGGGGGGGGGGGGGGGGGGGGGGGGGGGGGGGGGGGGGGGGGGGGGGGGGGGGGGGGGGGGGGGGGGGGGGGGGGGGGGGGGGGGGGGGGGGGGGGGGGGGGGGGGGGGGGGGGGGGGGGGGGGGGGGGGGGGGGGGGGGGGGGGGGGGGGGGGGGGGGGGGGGGGGGGGGGGGGGGGGGGGGGGGGGGGGGGGGGGGGGGGGGGGGGGGGGGGGGGGGGGGGGGGGGGGGGGGGGGGGGGGGGGGGGGGGGGGGGGGGGGGGGGGGGGGGGGGGGGGGGGGGGGGGGGGGGGGGGGGGGGGGGGGGGGGGGGGGGGGGGGGGGGGGGGGGGGGGGGGGGGGGGGGGGGGGGGGGGGGGGGGGGGGGGGGGGGGGGGGGGGGGGGGGGGGGGGGGGGGGGGGGGGGGGGGGGGGGGGGGGGGGGGGGGGGGGGGGGGGGGGGGGGGGGGGGGGGGGGGGGGGGGGGGGGGGGGGGGGGGGGGGGGGGGGGGGGGGGGGGGGGGGGGGGGGGGGGGGGGGGGGGGGGGGGGGGGGGGGGGGGGGGGGGGGGGGGGGGGGGGGGGGGGGGGGGGGGGGGGGGGGGGGGGGGGGGGGGGGGGGGGGGGGGGGGGGGGGGGGGGGGGGGGGGGGGGGGGGGGGGGGGGGGGGGGGGGGGGGGGGGGGGGGGGGGGGGGGGGGGGGGGGGGGGGGGGGGGGGGGGGGGGGGGGGGGGGGGGGGGGGGGGGGGGGGGGGGGGGGGGGGGGGGGGGGGGGGGGGGGGGGGGGGGGGGGGGGGGGGGGGGGGGGGGGGGGGGGGGGGGGGGGGGGGGGGGGGGGGGGGGGGGGGGGGGGGGGGGGGGGGGGGGGGGGGGGGGGGGGGGGGGGGGGGGGGGGGGGGGGGGGGGGGGGGGGGGGGGGGGGGGGGGGGGGGGGGGGGGGGGGGGGGGGGGGGGGGGGGGGGGGGGGGGGGGGGGGGGGGGGGGGGGGGGGGGGGGGGGGGGGGGGGGGGGGGGGGGGGGGGGGGGGGGGGGGGGGGGGGGGGGGGGGGGGGGGGGGGGGGGGGGGGGGGGGGGGGGGGGGGGGGGGGGGGGGGGGGGGGGGGGGGGGGGGGGGGGGGGGGGGGGGGGGGGGGGGGGGGGGGGGGGGGGGGGGGGGGGGGGGGGGGGGGGGGGGGGGGGGGGGGGGGGGGGGGGGGGGGGGGGGGGGGGGGGGGGGGGGGGGGGGGGGGGGGGGGGGGGGGGGGGGGGGGGGGGGGGGGGGGGGGGGGGGGGGGGGGGGGGGGGGGGGGGGGGGGGGGGGGGGGGGGGGGGGGGGGGGGGGGGGGGGGGGGGGGGGGGGGGGGGGGGGGGGGGGGGGGGGGGGGGGGGGGGGGGGGGGGGGGGGGGGGGGGGGGGGGGGGGGGGGGGGGGGGGGGGGGGGGGGGGGGGGGGGGGGGGGGGGGGGGGGGGGGGGGGGGGGGGGGGGGGGGGGGGGGGGGGGGGGGGGGGGGGGGGGGGGGGGGGGGGGGGGGGGGGGGGGGGGGGGGGGGGGGGGGGGGGGGGGGGGGGGGGGGGGGGGGGGGGGGGGGGGGGGGGGGGGGGGGGGGGGGGGGGGGGGGGGGGGGGGGGGGGGGGGGGGGGGGGGGGGGGGGGGGGGGGGGGGGGGGGGGGGGGGGGGGGGGGGGGGGGGGGGGGGGGGGGGGGGGGGGGGGGGGGGGGGGGGGGGGGGGGGGGGGGGGGGGGGGGGGGGGGGGGGGGGGGGGGGGGGGGGGGGGGGGGGGGGGGGGGGGGGGGGGGGGGGGGGGGGGGGGGGGGGGGGGGGGGGGGGGGGGGGGGGGGGGGGGGGGGGGGGGGGGGGGGGGGGGGGGGGGGGGGGGGGGGGGGGGGGGGGGGGGGGGGGGGGGGGGGGGGGGGGGGGGGGGGGGGGGGGGGGGGGGGGGGGGGGGGGGGGGGGGGGGGGGGGGGGGGGGGGGGGGGGGGGGGGGGGGGGGGGGGGGGGGGGGGGGGGGGGGGGGGGGGGGGGGGGGGGGGGGGGGGGGGGGGGGGGGGGGGGGGGGGGGGGGGGGGGGGGGGGGGGGGGGGGGGGGGGGGGGGGGGGGGGGGGGGGGGGGGGGGGGGGGGGGGGGGGGGGGGGGGGGGGGGGGGGGGGGGGGGGGGGGGGGGGGGGGGGGGGGGGGGGGGGGGGGGGGGGGGGGGGGGGGGGGGGGGGGGGGGGGGGGGGGGGGGGGGGGGGGGGGGGGGGGGGGGGGGGGGGGGGGGGGGGGGGGGGGGGGGGGGGGGGGGGGGGGGGGGGGGGGGGGGGGGGGGGGGGGGGGGGGGGGGGGGGGGGGGGGGGGGGGGGGGGGGGGGGGGGGGGGGGGGGGGGGGGGGGGGGGGGGGGGGGGGGGGGGGGGGGGGGGGGGGGGGGGGGGGGGGGGGGGGGGGGGGGGGGGGGGGGGGGGGGGGGGGGGGGGGGGGGGGGGGGGGGGGGGGGGGGGGGGGGGGGGGGGGGGGGGGGGGGGGGGGGGGGGGGGGGGGGGGGGGGGGGGGGGGGGGGGGGGGGGGGGGGGGGGGGGGGGGGGGGGGGGGGGGGGGGGGGGGGGGGGGGGGGGGGGGGGGGGGGGGGGGGGGGGGGGGGGGGGGGGGGGGGGGGGGGGGGGGGGGGGGGGGGGGGGGGGGGGGGGGGGGGGGGGGGGGGGGGGGGGGGGGGGGGGGGGGGGGGGGGGGGGGGGGGGGGGGGGGGGGGGGGGGGGGGGGGGGGGGGGGGGGGGGGGGGGGGGGGGGGGGGGGGGGGGGGGGGGGGGGGGGGGGGGGGGGGGGGGGGGGGGGGGGGGGGGGGGGGGGGGGGGGGGGGGGGGGGGGGGGGGGGGGGGGGGGGGGGGGGGGGGGGGGGGGGGGGGGGGGGGGGGGGGGGGGGGGGGGGGGGGGGGGGGGGGGGGGGGGGGGGGGGGGGGGGGGGGGGGGGGGGGGGGGGGGGGGGGGGGGGGGGGGGGGGGGGGGGGGGGGGGGGGGGGGGGGGGGGGGGGGGGGGGGGGGGGGGGGGGGGGGGGGGGGGGGGGGGGGGGGGGGGGGGGGGGGGGGGGGGGGGGGGGGGGGGGGGGGGGGGGGGGGGGGGGGGGGGGGGGGGGGGGGGGGGGGGGGGGGGGGGGGGGGGGGGGGGGGGGGGGGGGGGGGGGGGGGGGGGGGGGGGGGGGGGGGGGGGGGGGGGGGGGGGGGGGGGGGGGGGGGGGGGGGGGGGGGGGGGGGGGGGGGGGGGGGGGGGGGGGGGGGGGGGGGGGGGGGGGGGGGGGGGGGGGGGGGGGGGGGGGGGGGGGGGGGGGGGGGGGGGGGGGGGGGGGGGGGGGGGGGGGGGGGGGGGGGGGGGGGGGGGGGGGGGGGGGGGGGGGGGGGGGGGGGGGGGGGGGGGGGGGGGGGGGGGGGGGGGGGGGGGGGGGGGGGGGGGGGGGGGGGGGGGGGGGGGGGGGGGGGGGGGGGGGGGGGGGGGGGGGGGGGGGGGGGGGGGGGGGGGGGGGGGGGGGGGGGGGGGGGGGGGGGGGGGGGGGGGGGGGGGGGGGGGGGGGGGGGGGGGGGGGGGGGGGGGGGGGGGGGGGGGGGGGGGGGGGGGGGGGGGGGGGGGGGGGGGGGGGGGGGGGGGGGGGGGGGGGGGGGGGGGGGGGGGGGGGGGGGGGGGGGGGGGGGGGGGGGGGGGGGGGGGGGGGGGGGGGGGGGGGGGGGGGGGGGGGGGGGGGGGGGGGGGGGGGGGGGGGGGGGGGGGGGGGGGGGGGGGGGGGGGGGGGGGGGGGGGGGGGGGGGGGGGGGGGGGGGGGGGGGGGGGGGGGGGGGGGGGGGGGGGGGGGGGGGGGGGGGGGGGGGGGGGGGGGGGGGGGGGGGGGGGGGGGGGGGGGGGGGGGGGGGGGGGGGGGGGGGGGGGGGGGGGGGGGGGGGGGGGGGGGGGGGGGGGGGGGGGGGGGGGGGGGGGGGGGGGGGGGGGGGGGGGGGGGGGGGGGGGGGGGGGGGGGGGGGGGGGGGGGGGGGGGGGGGGGGGGGGGGGGGGGGGGGGGGGGGGGGGGGGGGGGGGGGGGGGGGGGGGGGGGGGGGGGGGGGGGGGGGGGGGGGGGGGGGGGGGGGGGGGGGGGGGGGGGGGGGGGGGGGGGGGGGGGGGGGGGGGGGGGGGGGGGGGGGGGGGGGGGGGGGGGGGGGGGGGGGGGGGGGGGGGGGGGGGGGGGGGGGGGGGGGGGGGGGGGGGGGGGGGGGGGGGGGGGGGGGGGGGGGGGGGGGGGGGGGGGGGGGGGGGGGGGGGGGGGGGGGGGGGGGGGGGGGGGGGGGGGGGGGGGGGGGGGGGGGGGGGGGGGGGGGGGGGGGGGGGGGGGGGGGGGGGGGGGGGGGGGGGGGGGGGGGGGGGGGGGGGGGGGGGGGGGGGGGGGGGGGGGGGGGGGGGGGGGGGGGGGGGGGGGGGGGGGGGGGGGGGGGGGGGGGGGGGGGGGGGGGGGGGGGGGGGGGGGGGGGGGGGGGGGGGGGGGGGGGGGGGGGGGGGGGGGGGGGGGGGGGGGGGGGGGGGGGGGGGGGGGGGGGGGGGGGGGGGGGGGGGGGGGGGGGGGGGGGGGGGGGGGGGGGGGGGGGGGGGGGGGGGGGGGGGGGGGGGGGGGGGGGGGGGGGGGGGGGGGGGGGGGGGGGGGGGGGGGGGGGGGGGGGGGGGGGGGGGGGGGGGGGGGGGGGGGGGGGGGGGGGGGGGGGGGGGGGGGGGGGGGGGGGGGGGGGGGGGGGGGGGGGGGGGGGGGGGGGGGGGGGGGGGGGGGGGGGGGGGGGGGGGGGGGGGGGGGGGGGGGGGGGGGGGGGGGGGGGGGGGGGGGGGGGGGGGGGGGGGGGGGGGGGGGGGGGGGGGGGGGGGGGGGGGGGGGGGGGGGGGGGGGGGGGGGGGGGGGGGGGGGGGGGGGGGGGGGGGGGGGGGGGGGGGGGGGGGGGGGGGGGGGGGGGGGGGGGGGGGGGGGGGGGGGGGGGGGGGGGGGGGGGGGGGGGGGGGGGGGGGGGGGGGGGGGGGGGGGGGGGGGGGGGGGGGGGGGGGGGGGGGGGGGGGGGGGGGGGGGGGGGGGGGGGGGGGGGGGGGGGGGGGGGGGGGGGGGGGGGGGGGGGGGGTGGGGGGGGGGGGGGGGGGGGGGGGGGGGGGGGGGGGGGGGGGGGGGGGGGGGGGGGGGGGGGGGGGGGGGGGGGGGGGGGGGGGGGGGGGGGGGGGGGGGGGGGGGGGGGGGGGGGGGGGGGGGGGGGGGGGGGGGGGGGGGGGGGGGGGGGGGGGGGGGGGGGGGGGGGGGGGGGGGGGGGGGGGGGGGGGGGGGGGGGGGGGGGGGGGGGGGGGGGGGGGGGGGGGGGGGGGGGGGGGGGGGGGGGGGGGGGGGGGGGGGGTGGGGGGGGGGGGGGGGGGGGGGGGGGGGGGGGGGGGGGGGGGGGGGGGGGGGGGGGGGGGGGGGGGGGGGGGGGGTGGGGGGGGGGGGGGGGGGGGGGGGGGGGGGGGGGGGGGGGGGGGGGGGGGGGGGGGGGGGGGGGGGGGGGGGGGGGGGGGGGGGGGGGGGGGGGGGGGGGGGGGGGGGGGGGGGGGGGGGGGGGGGGGGGGGGGGGGGGGGGGGGGGGGGGGGGGGGGGTGGGGGGGGGGGGGGGGGGGGGGGGGGGGGGGGGGGGGGGGGGGGGGGGGGGGGGGGGGGGGGGGGGGGGGGGGGGGGTGGGGGGGGGGGGGGGGGGGGGGGGGGGGGGGGGGGGGGGGGGGGGGGGGGGGGGGGGGGGGGGGGGGGGGGGGGGGGGGGGGGGGGGGGGGGGGGGGGGGGGGGGGGGGGGGGGGGGGGGGGGGGGGGGGGGGGGGGGGGGGGGGGGGGGGGGGGGGGGGGGGGGGGGGGGGGGGGGGGGGGGGGGGGGGGGGGGGGGGGGGGGGGGGGGGGGGGGGGGGGGGGGGGGGGGGGGGGGGGGGGGGGGGGGGGGGGGGGGGGGGGGGGGGGGGGGGGGGGGGGGGGGGGGGGGGGGGGGGGGGGGGGGGGGGGGGGGGGGGGGGGGGGGGGGGGGGGGGGGGGGGGGGGGGGGGGGGGGGGGGGGGGGGGGGGGGGGGGGGGGGGGGGTGGGGGGGGGGGGGGGGGGGGGGGGGGGGGGGGGGGGGGGGGGGGGGGGGGGGGGGGGGGGGGGGTGGGGGGGGGGGGGGGGGGGGGGGGGGGGGGGGGGGGGGGGGGGGGGGGGGGGGGGGGGGGGGGGGGGGGGGGGGGGGGGGGGGGGGGGGGGGGGGGGGGGGGGGGGGGGGGGGGGGGGGGGGGGGGGGGGGGGGGGGGGGGGGGGGGGGGGGGGGGGGGGGGGGGGGGGGGGGGGGGGGGGTGGGGGGGGGGGGGGGGGGGGGGGGGGGGGGGGGGGGGGGGGGGGGGGGGGGGGGGGGGGGGGGGGGGGGGGGGGGGGGGGGGAGGTTTTGTGCGACGGGGCGATGATCCAGACGATTTGCAGTGCTTACGGTTTAAAGTGAGTTCCTCGATCTGGCGCTGAAGCGACGTTATCTGCGATGATAATGCGTCTATTGCCGAGGTCTGGATAGTCGCGGTTGTCGTTTTGGTTGCGCCAGCACAAAGCTGCTTAGATGCTTTGGTTTCAGTCTCTGGCTGGTGCCGTTGGATGACGCGGTCTGCTGAATCTGCAATTGCTATGATGGGCACGTCACTTGCTACTGCAAGGATAGCCTGTGTGCTATCAAGAAAGCGTTGCGTCCACAGCTCGCGGAGAATCCCTACGTCCATTTTGGACGTGCCGATGAGCTGTTGTATTTTGTGCAACAAGGCTGAGGGCACCCTATCTTTTAGCTGCATATCAATAAATATTTTCTGCAGACGGACCTTGTTAGAAGGCGTGATTCGCTGAATAATAGCCTGCTTAAGTGTGTCGTATTTCATTACAAGAGGGGCAAATTATGATGTCTCTCACCTGCGAGGATATATTCTGAAGAAGGCAAGATATTAGCTGGTTACACATTGCGAAATCAGAAGGCTGGTGTTCGGGCCACGTCGGTGTCACCAATAGTCGGGCGGAACCTGGGATACTAGTCGGTAAGCAATGATACGTAAGACCTGTCAAATACGACAGTATAGAAGTCAAAGGCGACTGAACCCAACGTATATTTTGCTGGCTACAGGAATAGGCAGCGAATCAAACAGAGGGAGAAACGTGCAGCGAGGTACTCACCAAAACGGTTTTGTGTCAATGGATGTGCAGTCAGTAAAACAAATAGACGCTTCGAAAGTTAAAACAACCGTAAAATCCAATGTTACAAAATACTGAAAGAGCTCGTGTTCCGGTGCACTACAACGGTTTACTGTGACCCTCCACTTCTCAGAGAACGTGCAACATCAATTTGCAGATGCCGGACAATCAGCTTTCCACATAGGCCATCACATAAGTACAGCCGAGGCACGACTAGAATGTTATCAGAGCCACGTTCGCCCACACTCAGAATATTGCACCATCATCTGCAGCAATCTGCGAAAGTCAGATCGCATACTGCGCTAAAAGGCTCAGTGGCAGTTAATCAAAATTATATCCCACAACATTTACCGCTTAGTTACCTACAGTGGTATTGTCACTTCAACCTCTATGGTTGCGACGCATTACCTTAAACTCATGCTTATTAAATCAAACCGTGCACAGTGACACACCCAACCGGACACTGGGAAGGGAACCAGCATTTAACCTCTCTACCGACTAAGTTCACATTTCTTCCTAATTGTTTATCAAAATCCCTGGAACAAATTACAAGCACGGTTACGCGAGCTTCACCATCCGCAGATTTGCAAGAAGGAGGTACAGAACTTTTATTGGCTAGATACTATCATACGCCATTTAAATATCTATACTTCGGATGAGGATCTTTTTGACACTAGCCTAGATGGCACAAAGGCAGCGTCTCGGGCTGCACTACAACATTATTTTACAATCCCTCTAGCCGCCTGACGTATAAGCACCAATGGCGCCTTACTCTGCTTGGTCGCCCCAGCGTTGTTGCTTACTTACACCAGTCGTCACTGCCATTTTCTCCTAAGTTAAGCATTCCCGAGGCTATCCTATTTGTCCCAACCCTGTCTTTGGCAACCATTATGCTAATCTTGACTTGACTTGTTCTTGCTGTCTGGATGATTCTGCATCACAGTATCAACGACACATTCTTATCCATCTTGCGCGATTTCTTGACCGTGCTTATAGGGGCCTTATTAATGTCGCACTAACTTACAACCTATAGAAAGCAGACATCTCTGCTTCAGAAAGTCTAATCGTATGCATAGTTACCTCACTCGATAAGTACTGGCTTTGTTACCTGGCTACATCACTTTGTTCTATACCACAGCCTTCAGGTCTACCCTTTAGCCTAAGTCTGACGGTCCTGTCGCAAACCTTATCATGCCCTATGATTGACATGTTCCAAATCACTAAATTCACCTCACGGTCTAGACTTCTCGCATCTACACGATCAATTTTCCCCCACCATATGTTTCTTTCCATCTGCTACTCGCCAATTCCGTCTTCTAAGCATTCCATGCCACTTCAATTGCAATTATATGGATAAATTATCCATACAACCCTTTCGGACACCTGCCTAGTGTTCGACGGCAATTAGGCATAGATTCCCTATCCCATTATTAGGGGCTATCCCCATCGCACATCATACCTTACCTAGCATCCTTATTGTTTATCATTCATCCTTCCTGACACCTTACCTTTGGTAGGCGTGCCAGCAATACTTGTGTCAGTTCTAGTTCTGCCAGTCTACTCCCCAACCTACCGACAGCCTTTGGATCACTGATGCGTCTCACAGCCAGCTCCCTCCAGCGCTGATGACTACCTGCATCCTTCATGAATTACTTCCCATCCTCACTCAGCATTTCCCATAGCTTTACTCATTTGCATATCTCTCATACTTGCCCTACCTCTGACCTGCGCAACCACGGCGCAAAGTGTGCCTTAAACTACCTATTGCTCCCCATCTACTTCCGGATTAATTCAGTATCTTATCTACGCTTATGGGCCGGTAGGTACCAAGCCTCTTCATAGCTGGCCTCCACAGTTGGCGTAATGGTGCTAGCATTCGCAGCCATAAGTCCTTATCAATCGCTAATCCACTGAGTATACTTAAGTTCCATTTATTTTAGTAGGTAGGCTTAGTTACTTGATACTACCCAAAGTATTCTAACTAGATGGCAAAATGCCAACGGACTTAATTCCGCCGTCCCTGACGGCACGCGATCCATCAAAAATGTGTATTCAAACTGGTAGACAAAGTGACCACTAGTAGAGCCACACTTCCCGGAACCAAGCATTTTGTTTCACACTTTATCCTTTCTTGGCCACATATACTTAGAGTTATCTGGGTTATACGTATACCGAACACTATTGGAAACGCTGGTGGACGGGCAGTATGTAACTCCAAATCCTTTCCGTCAACCGCCTTTGCTACCACAACATTCACTTTGCTAGCTTCAATTTCGCTGGAACGAAAGCAAGCCCTGCGACAGAGAGGCCCTTGTCACACCAGCTAGCCGGACATCCAGAACTTCCTAACCACCACTTTGCCCTACTTTGGCCGTTCGGGCATAACTTTCACTTTTAAATGGTTCCAAAGTCTGCCATGCGTTATGCGTAGTTGTGGGTTAATAAGCAGATCCTACAGTTTTGCCTACTTTTCCACTTTTCACCTATACTAATATTTATTTACCTTGCATGATAAACTGAAACTACCCTCGCTAGAATAACCTCCAGAGTGATAGCTGTTGTAACACCCGCTACCTCTCCTACCAGCCTTCCCATCTATCCACTCCCAATATCGGCCTGACCAAATGCAACATGGACTGAGCAAAGAGGGGCGCATCACCGATCCGATCCTCCAAACCACAGCCCAACGCTTCATTTCCCCTACCTAAAACAAATCCCACGCCCCCGAGAAACCGCAGCTAAAGGATCGGATCAACTGTCTTGAGAGTGGACAAATACTCTCACACCACATTTAATATACAAAATGCCTAATGGCAACGATGACGGCTCCAAGGCAAGTCTGCTTAAATTAACAACCCAAACCTAGGCTCCAATCTTCAGTTTCAGTGGTAACCTTTTACGTTTAACTATCCTACCAACCAAGCTTAATTAACACTGTAATACTTGTCATTAATTCCGAGTACCAAGATCATATAAGCCGTACTCTATTTCACTCCTGAATTCTGTCGACCTTTATCCCGAATTCTCTCAAAAGTCTTCCTTATGGCGATGCAAACCGCACCATTAGGACAGTCCGGATGACCACACTCATACCTCGAGCCTCAAACTTATCCTTTGCACGCCTTTCCACAACCAAGCGGTTTGAAAACACCGCCCTCTCAGAAGCGTTAAATGGTTCGCGACCTCAAGGACCGGGTGCGTACGTACAGCTCTAAATCCTCGCCGGTCTTCTATCATGTTCCGTTCTTGCCAACGGGACTCCCGCGTGGTTAACGTAACATTTCTGTTATCCAGCTTACTGCATGCAACCCCTTTAAGTCAAATATCAGCCCCTGCCTTTGTTTAACCAACTGCCACTTAAGCACTTCTATCAGTTACACTGACAAGGCGGTAGCACCAACAGCCTTGCAAAATTGGCGACCACATGCTTGTGGTTGACACTGACCCTTATCCGAACCTCAACGTTTTTGATTACTTCAATAAATCTACATGACCGCTGTACTTCAATATTGAGTTTATAGTTTTCACAATAACTTTATCGCCATTTACCTATATTCATATCTCAAGTACCGCTTCTGAAGTAGTTCGACGAATGCGGCTTCGGATATTGTTTATATTCATAACCTTTGAAATCTGACTACTGGAGTTGTTCCACAGGTTCTAGACCACCTCGCACACATCAAAATCTTGTGGCTATTGGTACTGAAATCATGCACCAATACAATAGAAGCTGTCATTGAAACGGAGCTACCATGTTTGCTAAGAAGCCTCCGGACTGAACTCACTGTCATGTGCATTCACATTCGGCATCCGACAGTTACATCACATAGATGATATTCATTCCCCCTGAATACGGTCTGTTGAACCGCCGTTATGTTTTTAACTGCAATATGTACTTCAGGAAAATCTAGTCTACAGGATCCGCTAAACAGACTCTGTCAGATCCATAATCTTCAGTCGCAGGCAACTTGCAGTCCATTCCCTCCTCACTTGGCCAAATATTCCCCAGCTTTTATCTGTGCTGAACATCCACTAAGCAATATTGGAAACACAAGTTGCCAAACAACATAAAGAACCAGGTCCTTACCTATAACCGTTTATGCCAACTTACTATCCACTATTTTGCATTCAATCAAAATGTCAAGAAGGCTATCCTCGCTCCAAACTAGCCAGTCACCTTGGTTCTCTGAATATCCAAAACCTTTTGCCTACCACTATACCTTACCTTGGCCAGCTATGCGAAAGAAATCGTTTATCTGGCTCCGTGGACCC